GGACTACACTCTGTTTGGAAAGACTGGGCTGGATGTGGACTACACTCTGTTTGGTAAGACTGGGCTGGATGTGGACTACACTCTGTTTGGAAAGACTGGGCTGGATGTGGACTACACTCTGTTTGGAAAGACTGGGCTGGATGTGGACTACACTCTGTTTGGTAAGACTGGCCTGGATGTGGACTACACTTTGGATGTGGACTACACTCTGGTAAGACTGGGTTGGATGTGGACTACACTGTTTGTATGTGGACTACACTCTGGTAATACTAGGTTGGATGTGGGCTAGTTTCACTGCCTTTAACATGAAAAATGCAGTATATTTTTAGTTTGTTTCAGCTTGACATTTTAAATTGACACACTTTAACAGAAAATATGAATATTTGATAGTCATGTTTGTCTTTGGATTTTATACTGGCTCTGAAAAAGTAGTCACTCCTTCACATATGCAAGAGTTGTGTTCTGAAGATCCCCACAAATGTGAAAACTCATGAATAATACTTGCGCCCCCCCCCCACCTCAACCCATAACAGTCTGCTAGTCTGAGCAATAACATAAAAAGTCTGTTTATTTCCATTTTCTAAACAAACAGTACTGTACACTTTGCATGTTAAATTGTCTTGTCATTTCTACTATATACATTTTTATGTAATATACAACCATCTAAATTATGCCCTTGTATGCCCTAGTTACTACTGTACACTGAGCACTACGTTGTGGACTCATGATTAAAATGCAAAATTAATGGCGCTATACTTCAATAGTAATCTTAAAACGGTTAATACGCTTAACAAATGGTTCCATTTTTAAATATCTGTATGGACTGCTATGTTTGAATATTTATTGATGCAGTGGGGGTTAATATCCCTTTGGCAAGCATCAGACAATAGGCTGTTCTAGAACTTCAGTCAGGGGGCTTCAAAGGACTTTGCTTTGAATCGGTTGTGATTCTGTTGTCTCCACTTCACCTTGGGTCCAATTTCAGACCACAAATCCTGTGCCGAGACGGGACAAGAGCTGATGAGGCCATACCTGCACGAGTTTCTCACCTCTGCGTACGAGGACTACGACATTGTCATCTGGTGTAAGTGTTTGTGGTGCATAGAGGACTGTGGTCTTGTATGGGGGGGGTGGTCGTGATGCTCAGCGTCTCTTGCTGCTTCTTCCACGTTCAGTTTAGTCTGGTTTCAATGTGGTTATTCAGCGCTGTTCTCTCTCAACAGCGGCCACTAGTATGAAGTGGATCGACGCCAAAATGAAAGTAAGTGCATCTAAGGAACCTCTTATGGATGAGCGACATGACAGCCTTTAATAACAGCACCAGACAAAAATCAGCTTTTAGTCGTGATGCATTTGTCTCTTTCAGTTATTCACCTTATAGTAAAAGCCCGTGTGAGAAGTGTTCACCATCACCGTTCACCATCACCGTTTTCTCAGATTTTGGGCGCTTTTCCACCAGACCAACTACCGTACTTTATGTACTTCAAGAAACTACCAAAAGTGTGATACTTCAAGGTGTTGGTTATCCACTGGTATAAAGACTGGTGCTTGTGCTGAATGACATCACAGTGCAAGGTGGGGTATTTTGTACTGAATTCTAAAAATGGCTACAGTATATTATTGGGCAGAATGATAATATTAATACCGACATTGCATGTTATACTCGTGCAATTCTCACATCGCTAGTCAGCTAAGTTAAGATCAGCTTTTTCTTACTTTCAATTCTGTACGGACATTATAGCGCAGGGAGTTCAAGTTTTGCTCAAAGTTTACCTCCGCTGCTTTTACATGAGTGCTGCATGCGTTCTCATCCTTGCTGTTTAAATTGACGGATTGTGAGGAATCCATGAACTCTGTTTTTTGCTTTTGCCCAATATTTATTACAACAAAAATCACATCACTAGGACAGCACACTATATGCATGCTGTCCTAGTATATCGAACAAAATACTTTTTAAATTTCAATGGTAATGGGAAAGTACCAAATGTACCGTACCTGGTGCGGTGGAAAAGCACCCTTTGACTCTTCAAAATAGCCCCCATTGGTGTCCATGACAGCCTTGACGTTCTTTCAACCCGCATCCAGATGTAGCCAACAGTTCTGCAGGAGTTTCCACAACTTCTGAGCACAAGGCAGCTACTCTATTCTTACTCTTCAATCCAACTCATCCCAAACCACCTCTGTATGCTTTAGGTTGGGGTGATTATGGGGGGGGGGGTACTCGCGTAACCCCCCCCGCAGGTGTGCTTGGGGTCGTTAGCTTGTTGATAAACACAAGATTTTCATTAGGTGTTTCCAGACTTTTAACTGGTGTACTATACATTTACACCCATGTGTTGTGTTTAGCTCTGTCACCTGCAGGTTTCAGTGATGTCTAAAATTAAAGGGTATATTTAGTATATTTTTTTATTGGTCTGACAATTGCAGTTCCTGTTTTTTTTTAGTTAGTTAAATATGCAGTAAAGTCACAATAAAACGCTGTCCGAGTCACCACAAGCCTTCCCCATACAGTTCACAGTCAGCACTGTGAGCAGCACTGGCTGTGATCGGAAAGCGATTAGTTCTGTCTGACTGCTCGCCCACAGGAGCTTGGGGTGACGGACAACCCCAACTACAAGATCACCTTCATGCTGGACAGCGCGGCTATGATCACTGTGCACACGCCAAAGAGAGGTGTGGTGGAGGTCAGTCCGGCTTCAATGGTGGCGAGAACCTCTGAGGATGTGGTTCAGATACGATTTGAAAATGTCTGCCAAAATGTTTCGTTTTTAGGTAAAGCCCCTGGGAGTAATTTGGGGCAAATACGGCACATTCTACAACAAGAAGAACACCATCATGTTTGATGACATCGGTAGGAATTTCCTTATGAACCCACAGAACGGATTAAAGGTACCAGTTCCAGCCACTCTGACTGCTTACTTGCACAAAAATGTTCTGAGGGCAGAAAGAAATATGAATCAGATTGTTGATTGTTGGCAACTAGAGGAGGTGGGACCACCCAATCAGATATCTTGGTCCCGCCTCCTCTAGTTTGGACCCACCTCCTCTGCATTCTGATTGGTTCAGAGAGATAACCAATCATTTTTCCTTATGCCGTCAGAACATTTTTGTGTAAGTGAAAATCCCACAAGTTCTCAGACTCTTCTCCCCAGTTGTTGTCATTGGTTGGTTATTCCACCATTTTCCCGTGACAGATCCGGCCATTTATGAAGGCACACCTAAACCGTGAGAAAGACAGGGAGCTTTTCAAACTGTCCCAGTACCTCAAGGAAATCGCGAAACTGGAGGACTTCTCCGGCCTAAATCACAAACACTGGGAAAGGTAGGTATGCCTCAGTAGGTGGCCGTGGTGAGCTTCACTGAGGAACACATGCACGCACGTCTGATATCTCCCAGAATGAAGCACATACTGGTCAGGCCTACAGCCAATGGAGACGCATCTTGTGTAGCTAAAGTCAGCGGCATATTCAGGGGTCTCAGGGGCACCCGCCCCTACTAAAAGCTGATTGACCCCCTTCCCTGTCCCTCAGCAATTTCAAACATATCATTGGATAATATTAAGGTTGGGCCCTCTGTGTGAATTATGGCCCTTCTTATACCCCCTTGTTTAAACTAATCCTAGAATCACCCCTGGATCTAGTACTCCTTTTTGGTTGGCCGGCTCTGATAACAGCTATTAATGAACGGACCTATGAGTCGGCAAATTAGACGAGGACCTTACTGGACCTTTACTTAAAATAACTGTGGATTCCAGTCCTTATTATAACTTGCCATTTGTTGCCTGCTGTTTCTGGCAGGTACCTCTCGAAGAAGCAGAACCAGTAGAAATCCCTAACTGGGAGCAAGACCATTTGGAGAAGTACAGGACACTGCAGGTCACGCCAACCCACTACTGCTGGTCGTCATTAAGCTCGTTACGTCTTTCCCACTCTCTGTCTCTCTACCCTCCCTTCCTTACTCTTCTCCTTTCATCTCGCCTTCTGTTCTTCATCAGCGTTTTGCTTCTTGGTGCCGGTCCGGTCTGTTGGTGCGGAGCTTGTTACAGTCCCGTGAAGGACCACAGTCTCCGCACACCTTTCTCCTCAAAGAGAGCCCAGCCTCACACAGTCAAGAATATTAGCGTTTCAGGTCTAAACCTTCATTCCTCTAGACACCTTTCTTTTGAACTGCTGAAGCTGTCTCTGAAAATCTTAATGGTACCAGAAGTGAAACGGTCGTCGAGTTTGGTGCGCTGTGCTTCACCGCCAGTTTACAAATGGATGTATGTCTGGAGTAATGTTCTCACCACTGGGAAATGTATAATGCCCCCGAGATATGCTGCTGATCCTCTGGACATTTATGGAGTAAATATTCTATGAATAGTTTTAAGGAGAGAGTTCTGTCTGGCAAATTGTAAAGCGAAAAAGGAAAGGAAAAAAAAATCGGTTGTTAGGTGTTGTTTTTTCTTTCCCCCTGTTCCTCCGAGTTTAGGATTCCGTACCGTTCGGTGCCGCTTGTCTGAAGCCGTATTAAGTTACCGCTCCGGGAAGCTGAGGTGTGAAAATGCAGCTCATTACCACTCCATTCCTCTGCAAATGCATAATTCAGAAATAATGTTTGTTATATTCGTGTGGGGGTCAGGTTTGCACGGGCTGCCGCACATTATCAAAAGCCGAAATAAGTTAGCGCTCCGGGAAGCTGTAGCGTGGAAACCAGCCCATTTGTACGAACTGTGTTTTTTTTTTTTTTTGTTCTCTAGAAGGTGTGTGGAAGTGTGTTTTGGAGAGCTAACTTGTCAGGTAGTGTCTTTTCTTTAGTGGAAATTTGAAGTCATAATTAGATAAACCTGCTCTCCTAACGGGTATCTCTAAGATATTCACTATTGAGAGAAAACAGTCATGTCTGTGGTTGACTGATTTATTTTTAAATCTTCTCCTAAGACAATTATGCAGTATATCAAAATAAAATGCAGTGTTTTTTTATTATTTGAGAAATGTTATGGAATGAACTACAATATACATTTTAAATACATAAAGCAGTGACATGAATTAACGTGGCACCTATGTAGAAGGGCACTAAGTTATGAAGTGATCGTCTGCAGTTCTGCAATTCAGTCTAAGAAGCTAACTTGCTGGAGCCGTCGGACCAATGTTATCGCGGGAAATGGGCACATTGCAGAGCGTGTAGATCATCTGATTTATCACAGAAGGCAAAGGGTGGGTTGCAATGGCCAAAATATCAATATTCTTAGCTAGTGATAATGGAGCTTATTACCACAATGCTTTTAATTAACAATAGTGATTAAAAAGCCACTTTAAACATCTTAATGTATTGCTTTGAATGATACAAGTATTGAAGACTAGTGTATCTGTCAGTACTCTTAATTAAGGTTCTAATAAGTTCACCAATCGGGTTAGTTAGCTCGTCAAAGCCAAACAGTGAGGACCTGGTGAGAGCATCAGCACACTGCATGTGCGCTTAGCCTGCGGAAGCTCGCGAGGCGCCGTGCAGTGAGGACTGGGGCATCCCCACTGTAACTGCCAAACCTTCCTTCTGTGGAATTCCCACAGCGAGCGTGTCACTCAGCCTCTGCAGGACGGCTCTGACATTTCCCAAATGCATATTTAATCCTCCGCATGCATGACGATGCATGATTTATTTTTTTGTTTGTTGTTTTTTTTTTTTTTTTTGCAAGTTTGTTTGGTTTACACAGGTTTTGTTTTATAGAAAGGACAAGGTTTTTACATCTTTTTCTTTTGTTTGTAATTAAACACTCACACCAGTTCCCTCCTCTCACGTAGGGCAGTATGGCATGAGATCGGACCCTGAATGTTTGTATGACTTGTCATGGAGGAGTTTTTTGTTTGCTTGTATGGACTTGACACTATAAAACATTGTGTTGGATATGGAGTATCCAGTGGTATCATAAAATAAACATTTTTTTTGAGGAATAAGGTGTGTGTGTGTAAGTTTGCGTGGTACCTCTGTGTTGTGTAGGGTTCCTCCTGCAGATCAAGGTCAAGATGTCAGGTCAAGTGGCATCTCTAAATTGCCCATAGCGTGTATGAATTAATAGTCTGACGTCCTGCCCTGCGTGTTCTCCTGTCGTCCTATCCCTTTTGGATAAGGTGATCAGTGCTCTGATGTGTATGAATTGAATTTTACCCACAATGCATCAGAGATGTTTGGTCTTGCAGGGGAAGCAGTCTGACTTTGGGTTCCCGTCTAGGCAGAATCCTTACTCCTTTGTCAGAAGCCATGTGCGGTCCTGCGTTGTCTATGTAACAGGCTTCACGGTCACCATAGTGACAAATAACCCATCCTGTATAGCAGCTGTCTGTCACTTGTGTCATAACCAGAAGCAATCCATAGACCGGCCAACCAGAACCTATCCATAGACCGGCCAACCATAACGCTAGTCTGCAGCAGCAAGTCTACATAAATGATGAGGTGTTTATTAATAACTAATGCTTCCCCAACCCCCTAATGCGAGAGAGTTTATTTCAGGAGCAGAAGGTACATGTACTGATTTTATTTGTCACAAACCATTCTGGCGCCTTCCTTAAAATGATACCAGGGTTCAAGTTTGTGAGGAAGGACACCAATTGGTCCCTGGGAGCTGGGGCAGATTCCGATGTCGGCTTCAACAGACTCGGAAGACGACATCCAGTTCAGCTGTTCCGTCGTTCTTGGGCAGCTCCGTCGAACGACGACCTGCTACTGTCATTCAACTCAGTTTCCCTTTGGCTGCATATAGCATCCTTCTGGAATGTTCCCCATTGTGTGGCTGCCTGGTGTTTGTTGCAGATGCCAGATACCCTTAACCCTTAACATATTCTAAGTAAGAGTCTTTTTCTTACAGCTAGTCTTCTATATTGTAGCAAAAAAAGAAAGATTATTTAAATTCTTCTTGGGGGGGTTAGGGGGTGGTACAAGAGACTATCAATTCCCCACTCCACTGCACCTAGTTTCATTTGTAATATGATTGCTTGTGTTTTTTGTTAATGACATATTTAAATGAAGAAACAGTGGCAATGAAATTCCCAGATTCTCTAAAGATCAGAGTGGCTACATAATAAACTCACAAAAGTTGGAATTAAATGCTCTCGGGCTGTTTATTCAAGCTAATTTCGGACAGAGCAAGACGACATGCAGAATTTTTACTAATCCACACAATACACAGCAATTCAATGACTTCATTTCACAAACATCATACCAACATGTTTATAAATATTAAATTACCACATGGAAATCCTTTGTTACCTCTAGTAGCATACAATAAAATAAAATATATATTGCTTAAATATTGAATTGCTCCATTGTTTCTTGACACCATGGTGGAACCAAGTCAGCTTTGTCATAATTGCTTATGCCTCTGTTTCTTCAGTCGCTCTGTCAAAACAACAAAAAAAACATTTATCTAACACAGTTAATTTAAATTCTATCTATTGCATAAAAATACAATGTGCATAACGACCAAAAACCTACCCCTCCTTGCAGTCTTCATGTTGGCTTTTTTTATCCTGTCAGTAGAGCAAAATTTTAGAACAAAGTAGCCATATTTTTTTATGGTTAAACATTTTGTCTGCTTTAATTATCTTTATATATGTTAATACACACACATATATATATAAAATGAATTTTTCATAAATATAAAATGTAATTATGGTCAGGCATAGTTGTCTGACCATAATTATGTGGCCCCTGTCACTCATCTTTCTCTCTGTCCATTTCTTCTACATCTAACTTGTTAACTACAGTTTAATGTATCCCAGGCCTTGACACGTAGATTATCAACATTATTCACTTCACATGGGGGTGGTTACAATGCTTTGGCTCATCTTTGTGTGTGTGTCTCACTCACTCGGTCTTGCTCCAGTCACTCCAGCTAGATTTTGTAAACGTGTCTTGGGCTCTGACACAGAAAGTGATTTTTTTCCTTCTGTAATTAACTGGGAAACCTTGTTCCTCTGTAAGGTTCACCTGAATAGGGAAAGAGGAATGAAAAAGTCTCCCATTAATATTCTGGGATCAAGTGAAGCCCAGGCAGACCTCTGCAGGATAGGGTCTGAAGGCTGGCATTCCGGTTTAATGGGCAGAAACCCACTTACAGATGACATTACCTGCACTTCGCCTGGCCCTGCTTCATAGTTACAGTGCTTCTTCTGCGGAACCACTTTAACTTGAAACGTGAGGGGGAAATACGACCTGGGGAGACTCCATGTCATGGGGTAGGTCCAGTTAACGGTGCTCTCATTGGTCTTCTCAACCGCGATCTTATCGGGCTTCACTGGTGCGGAGAAACGGCACAGCATTAAATGCCAAGCTTTATATATGCAGCCGCAGAATGTATACGTCACTCACAGCGGATCCACGAAAAGAGAAACGCGGTAGTTACCTAATCCGCCAACAGAGGGCAGCACTTGCCCACAAAAAAAACTACACATATAAACGTTTCCAAACTAGTGTTGGTATAATCAGAGATAAGTTACTCAAGTTAGGAGTATTTGCATGCAGATGACAAGCTTAGTGCATACATAGCAGATCTGGCATTAAACAAGGATCCCATCTGAATACTGAGACTGGCACAATTTGCCAGAATGAAGGATAAGTCGAACCAAGTAAAAGCCTGAGAGCCAGTGTCGACATTGCAGTGCTCTGTCTGAGAGCCAGTGTCGACATTGCAGTGCTCTGTCNCTGAGAGCCAGTGTCGACATTGCAGTGCTCTGTCTGAGAGCCAGTGTCGACATTGCAGTGCTCTGTCGTACACGATCAATCATGTGTGTTATTGGGATTTACATGTTTGCTTAAACTTGTCATCCACTGATTCCAGCATCTAACCAGATACCTGTACCACAGATATCAGGCCTGAGATGAAAATGCACATCCCTCAACATGAACGACTGCACAGCTCAGGCAAAATCAGGGGGGGGGGGGGGGGGTATAGAGCGAGTCGCACCTATTTCAGTGATGTAGAACTGCCTGAAGTATTTTTCCACGCGGTACCAGTATCTGACGTACACAGTGAGGGTGATGTAATTCGCCTCCTCTGCATATGGACAATGTAAGCGATCCAGACACGTGACCCCAGACTGGTCACTGTCCAGAGAGCATAAGATGTCACTTACACTTGAAGACCTGTAATTTGGAAGGTGATATATCAGTTACGTATTCATTATTAAGGGTTCCTTCTATAATGTGTCTGGAATTCCTTTGTAATGTAACTTAAAAACAAGCTTTGTTTGCACAAGTACATTGTAATGCTTCTCTTTGCTGGTCCTGTTCTGCTCTCCATTGCTTGAGTGTCACCGCACATAGTCAGATAATGTGTGGCATGCAGCTGGGGGTTAAGGGCCTTAGTCAAGGGCCCACAGGCATCTGGCTATTCTACAGAGGCTGGGGCTTGAACCAATAACCTTCTGATCACAGGCACAGCAACTCAGCCCGCTAAGCCGCTCACTTCCCCTTCGCCTCCACTTTGGCGCATCTACAGCTTCTGAAAACTTGCAGCTATATTCTACTGAATATTGGAACGCCTTCTCTAAACCATAGTAAAAGATGAAAATGCAAAGCAATCGATGGACACCCACCGTACGGCGCTGACCGAGACCACGGATCCTCTCCGCCTCGCGCTCCACCTCCACCAGCAGTGAAAAGCTCCACTGTAGTTTTTCGATGTGCACTGAATGTAGTCTGGACAAAAATCAGGAAACAAAGAAGAGAACTTCCGTTACCAATCTGAGGTCCTTGAAGAGGAAATACAAGAGCATTTCCCCAAATTTAAAATCTATTTACAGCCAGGACACGTCGTATGAATTACACATCTCTTTATATATTGAGGATGCCAGTCACCATGGTCAAGAGTGTGTTCTTGTATTACAGGCCTATCTGGTCATGCGTTTATTATTTTCTACTAAAGGGTTTGCGGATGAGAGGGTGGCACAGTGGTTATCCCTGTAGGCTCACACCTTAAGGTCAAGGTGAGTGAATGGTGTGTGAGTGTGAGCGAATGGTGCATGAGTGTGCCCTGTGACAGGTTGGTGCCCCATCCTGGGTTGTTCCCTGTCTTGCATCCAAAGCTTCCAGGCTAGGCTCTGGACCCCCCTGTGACCCTGAATAACACAAGTGGTTTCAGGTAGTTTTTTATGCAAAGCTGTCCCTCAGACCCATGATGATGTCACCATATGGTGGGCTTTCCATTTCTGTGCCACAAAGCATCTCCTGATCTTCCGCTACCGACGCCACCGAATACATGCCTCTGTCATCTGCGACATTCTTGCTCCCGGCCCACGGCGTCGCCACGCCATCCAGGATCTTCCTCTGCTGCCGGGAGCCCTCTGCCCGCACCAGCACCAGCGTGTAGTTGAGGAGCCGCCCGGCTTGGTCGTGGCACGTGTAGTTCCCTCCCATCATCTCCTCAGAGACGACCTGCACTCGGTTCCCACGCTGACTCGTCTCCCTACCCTCGTTCCTCCAGAGAATCTGCTGGCCCTCAAAGGCGTCCCCGCACTTTAACTCGATCAGAGTCTGTGCACTGATGTTCAGGTTGATATCAACCACTAGCACTGCGGGAGGGGGGAACAGAATGTCTATTTTCATCCAGCCTCCTTAGTCTCGGCCCCCTAGCTCCACAAAAAATGTAAACACTGTGCTGCATGCATGGTTGCACATTATGGCTGAAGGCACCAAAGTGGGATACAAATATGCAAGAACAAAAACAAGAACAACATCAGCAGCAACAACAACAGTAATAATAATATAGCACTACTGACACCTGGGCACAAATAGCATCTGCCAAAAACAAAATAGACACTGACTACATACTGATTCTCACTGAGCCGGTCAACCGTTAATGGCGGTGAGGCTTGTCATGGGCTTTGACTTACACGGCGCTCGCTATTTACATACCATTCAAAAGACGGACAATGACACTGATGAGATTGACAAAAAATAAAAAAACGACCAAAGAAAAGCGCCGCTAAATAGATCACCGGCATCACAGAAAAGCGCCGCTAAATAGATCACCGGCATTTGCGTAGCTGTATTTGAATATGCAAACAGTAGAATTCAATGGCGGGAAACAAATTACCATTGGGCTTGAGGATCCAGTAACTGTGCGAACGCTGACTGGTGGATTTTGGAGACTGAAGAAGTAAAAGCAGGACACTCAGCCAGACAAAGTTCATCTGGCAGAAAGGAAACAAATAAGTGAGTTCTGTCTAATATCAAAAAGACAAACACAAGCAGATACTGTCACAGCTATGTCCTCTTAAATAATAACAGTAACCTCGTATTACCTTAACGAGGGGTATCGGTTTGACAAGTCAATAATACAACAAGTACATTTTACAAGAAACTAAAAAAAATATATTATTTAGATGTAAATGGGAATAAAACTTACCTTGAATCAATGAAGTCATTGAGTAATTATGTGTAATTCAGATGTTGAGAATTTAAAGCCCATATATACAGATGCTAGACATGGGGGGAAAAATCCCAACGTAAAGGTGACCAATCAAGATACAGAAAGGGCAGAGGAACTGGTCAATCAGTGAAGTAACCTCAACAGCCCGTAGCATGTCTCGTGTTTAGCTTGAGGGAATTGTTTCCTGGGTTTTGGCCACACTGCATGAGTAATTCATGAGTAATTTCATTATCTGTTTAGAATAAGGAATATTGTCTGAGATCCTTAATTCAAGTACTGCTCCTGGTGAAAGTCTTTGATGATGTCATGCATGGGAATTCATTAATTTTCACTGATGTGTCAGGACTAGCACATGACAACAGACATACACCAAATTAATAAAAATCTCCCATTCAATAGCCTGTTCAGAATAGAAACACAAATACACAGACAGAATGTGTAAATTTGGGTATGGGTCTACACCGTTCAAACAGACAAATAAATCAATAAATGGTTCAGGTGGGCTTGAAGAAGAACCTACGGCATTCTGACTACACTACCGGTCTATTGTATTGTATTATATTGTATTACAATCAAATTTGGCCATTTTCATCCTGTTAAGTAAACTTTCAGAACAAAGTAGCCATATTTTCTTTTGGATAAATATTTTGTCTGCTTTAATTATCTGCTTACATATATATGTATATCCACCCCCTTTTGCCCTCTGCCTCTAGGGGGTTGGGTCATCGGGGGCACTGGGGATGAGTTTCCGAGGCGGTCTGGGCTGGTGGTCCTCCGGTGGGTCTCTTTCCCGCCCACTGATCTCTCCTGCTCTGGGCTGGACCGACCTGCACGACCCGCTTCTTTTAATGCTAGATTACGCCAGATCAGCACTTTCTTTCCTACTCGTACAGAAAAAAAACGAAATCAAAGCGAGAAAAAGAGGAAATCAAACAAAGTCCTTCCTAGAGTAGGGGCAGCAGGTCATGTTAGGGGTGGTCTAGCTGGGGTGTGGATGTCATGGGTTGGGGGCTGTCCTGGGGGCCGCCATGCCTCTCCCTCTGACCCGCACGGTGCATGGTGGGTCTGACCTGCCTAGGTTTAACCAACAGCAACCCCTCCCCCCATCAATCTTCCTTTTGCTCCTACCTCTCCTCTCTTCCACCCCCCCGTGTATCACTTTTATCTTCCCCAACACACAGAAAGACACAAACACACACATGCTCACACACACCACATGTCCGCCATTGAGGGGGAAGTATAGTCTGCAAGCAATAGTCTGTACATGTTCACAGCATAATAACACTTAATGGTTCCGTCATTGTATATATTTTTTTTTGTGTTATTATTATTATGCATTTTATTTTATTTAAATAATCTTCTTCTTATTAATAGTCTTTGTTTTGTTTTTTCTTTTCTTTGCCTCCACTGTCCCCATCCTCCCTATTCTTGTCCTGTAATTTTTGTTTTCTGTAACTGCATTGTTGCACATTTGACGTTCTTTAAAAAAAAAAAAAATCGCAGTGTATGCAAAAACTTTTCACTGGAAGTGCAGGTGAGAAGCAGAAGATTCTACAAACAGTCCGCAGCAGTGAAACTGAAAGTGGGACATGGGAAGAAGGGTGTGGGTTTGGTTTGGTAGAGATTAAATCAGCCCCAATCCCCCTCCCCCCAAACACGCACGCTACTCATACAATATTGATAGGGATACTTCCATCCATCCATGCCCAAATCTACGTCCTTGCATGGGAACAGGAAAAACGACAATAATGATCAGAGTGGAAGTGGAACTTGCATTTGATTGATTTTACAAAGTGTATATATATATAAATTTTGATATATGTAAATATATGAAGTCTGATACCACTATAGAATAAAGTTTCCCTTTTGCTGCTTGTACAGTGCTGACAGAAAGTGTTGAGATGCTTAATTAATTTAGTAAAAATATTGCGAAATTTATTGGTTTTATAACAAAAATCACTACTTTATTAATTTCTTTACAAAAATATGTATCACATTACAAACAACCAGTAGTTTCAAGTAAAACATTGATTTAAAATATTAGTAAATTGAAATCCAAATTATAGTTTTAAAGGAGCTGTTCTGACGGACAGCCTCATTGAGGGCTTTTAAATTAGTAACACTTTTGCAATAACGTAAAACACCAAACATTTGTGTTTAGTATCCCTTTGGGGGCCATTGACCATAATTGCAATTAATAGCAAAATGGCAAGAGCAGAACTGAATGGGTCAGTCAAAAAAAAAATTATGACACTTAATAAAAAGATATATGTAGGTATGTAAACATCGCTTGTCAATGGACTTTTGTTATGAAACCAATACATTTGCAACATTTTTACAGAATTAAGCAATTGTTTCGACATTCTGTGAACGCCGTATATGCTAGTAACTCATAATAAAAAAGTACTAATTTGTTTATGGAATTGTCTATAAATGAATTAATAACTTGATTATAAACCATGCATAAACCCTTTATAAGGGTGGTCTTATTGTAAAGTGGTACCCAGAGAATTTCTCAAACGTTGCTTCTTATGAAACTGGATAAATTGTGAATGAAAAGATAATTCTTTAAACTCTAGACCAGTAGTTCTTAAGCCATGTCCTGGTTTCCCCTACAAGCACAATTGTTTGCGCTGCAAGTTCTGAATCATTAAGCGTGACCCAGCTTTCAGCTGAATTCTGCCCCTGATTCTATTTAGGTTGACATTGCATGTTTTTGCTTCAATTTATACTGATGAGAAAATTTTAAAGAAAACAGATTTCTTTGTTTTTTTCCCCTCAAAGTAAAACACCAATACATTTTGAATTATTTAATGACTTACATTATGTAACAGCTTCCACTGGGTGCAGTTATGGGAAAAGCGATTAAATAACTGACTAATGAATCCTAATTATGCTGAATACTCATGCCTGCCGATGTTTGACATGGAAATTTACTAAATCAGGGTAGAATGTTCAACTGATTATTCCCCCAAACGTCTTAAACATCTATCTTAAAGGACCTATATTTTAGGCTGTCTTGGCATCACGGCAGTGATCTCAAGTGTAATGAAATAAGAGGATTTTGGAACAAACTCAGAAAACTGTTATTGCAGGACAAAGACTATACAGTCAACGTATTTTTTTTTTGTAATAAATGTAGTCAGTGCAGTAATACGAGCAGCCACCGGGGGCATCGAACAATGCTGGAAAATCCACGAGTAGAGGTTGGTCTCTTCTCTTCAGGTCCCGCACCCCCGAGTGCTTACTCAACTGGAGAGTCACGTGTTCTGCGTTGACGGGATCCCGCTGGGAAGCTGCTGCCCAAAATTATTTGTTGCCACTGGTGGCCAAATGGCCAACGTCCAGACGGATGTCTACGTTGTATTTGCTGGCAGTTTTCAAACGGCGCTGGCACCGGCACGGCAAGTCAGGCGGGGAAGCCCGGGAACGGAAAATGTGGGGGGAAAAAACGCCAGCGGCTGGCAGACACAGCCCCATACATCAGAGCCGGAGGAACAATCCAACTCCTACCTGGAAGCAGTGAACGGGCGCCACTCGTATTCCTGCTTACGAGCCAGGGAAAGTGCGGCTCCATGATAATTAGCCGTCGACTCCAGTGAGAAAGGATCACATTATGTCGGCAGATTAATTATCGGCTGCGCTGTTTAATGGGAACACAGTTAAGAACAAGGGTATCGGGTTGAACTGCACAGAAAAACCGTGGGAGATCTGACACGGTAACTGAAGAGGACGTTCTGGGGAAAAGAGACTTATGTTTTTTTTTTTAAATTAAGCATTAACTACCTTTTCCGCGTAACCCGTGCGACCCGCTGTCGCCTTGGATAGAGGTGGGTGGTTCAGGTCTAGAGAGTAAAAATCTAGACCAAGATTTAGTTTCAACTAACTAGTCGAGTATAAAAAGTCACAGAGTATGCAACTGGTTGCTTGGAACAAAATCTTGGTCTGGACTTTTACTCTCTGGACCTGAACTACCCACCTCTGGTCGTGGATGGTGATGGAGTATCGCTGTGCCTAGTGGGTCCATTTGGCCACGCAGAGGTGAGCACGAGCAGATGACATCACCATAACCCTACAGGAGAATTGATAATCGACCCATCAGACGCCAGCTCCCACTCGTCGCGCCATTAATTCGCATCTCATTAGCACGCGCCTTACGTTCGAGATGGCTAACGAGGAGGCTGTTAGCTAATGAAGTCTCATTGTCCTCTTGCTTTGTTTAAATTAATGTTGGGTCATCGGTGCTAAAAGCTATTAAGTAAGTTATTAATAGTACCAGTATTCACAGAGACTGGCAACAGCTAACGCCGGTTTTGTTTGTATCAATGGTAATCTAATTGCCAGAACGTACAGGCACACCTTCTGACCCCTGCAGCTCATACGTGCTTTTTAGAAGAAATACAGCCATCTAGATTTCCCGTTGTTAGTCTAAAATTTACATCTGTTCTCCAACAGATTTACTTAGCAGAAGCTTTTACCCAAAGTGAAAAACAATGGAGAAACAGGGTCCCTGTAACAATCGGGGGTCTAGGGGCTTCGCTCAATGGCCTAGTGGTAAAATCACTCCGCTGACCCGGGGATTTGAACCGGTGACTAAGGGGTGGGGCATACTAAATCGGCTGAACCATAACCCCCCCCCCAAAAAAAAAAGATGGCTTACTGTGGTTCCCCTAGTCCTGGGGGGGTTGAATGATCAGTAAATAATCAATACACAACCCTGAGCAAGTGCACACAATTAAGCAAGCAAACAAACATACAATGGAAAACACGATTTGAAACCCAGATCACTGTTTCACGTGATCAGTTATAAACAGCAAAGAACACACAAAGCCATATGGGTAAATGATTTACTATAAAATCTTGTCAATGTGCCACGTAACTCGACTTCTTGACAACAGATTCAAAAGTTATAAGACCTTCAGCTCGACCGCATGTACAGCCTGAACCCCTACACCCCCCCACAGGTATACGAGCAGAACGAGGTGGCAGTCAGCTCTACAAAGCCGGACATTAACTTAAAAGCTTATTAGCTTATTATTCCCACCCCCCAAGTTTAACAATCAAGTGATTTTAAAAGTTGTGACCCTCTCCTTCGCTTTACTAAAGGGTGGAGATATAGGTGTAGATCACCCTTTGTGGTACAAGTCCAGTCATTCAGTGAAACCAGCTTCGTTCACCGTCAGGAGAAAAACATCGATTCTGAAATTCCCAAACCAAAAAAAAAAAACATCGCAGGGGCTCATACCACGGATTTTCCTCTTTGTCCCGACATCAAATACCCCGGCAGCGCTTTTTGGTTTAGTTAAAGAATAAAACAGTCCCGGCGAATTTAAAAAGGTAGGACTAGGCAGCGTCGTGAGCCGCCCCGCTTGTTGCCGTGGAGATCGGCCTGCGAAGTCACGTTAAAAACCGCACAGCTCTGTGCGTATAGAAAGTTCGACAAGAGAGGAATGAGCGGTATAAAGACAGGCGTAAAAATTGAAAAAACTCCTAAAATACAATAATAACGACATCGATGACAATAATAATTATAATAATATCAATAATAACAATAGTAATAGCAGATAGTCTCGCAGAGTGTTATTCTGTTCCGCGCAGTCCGGTTCCGTGCCAGCAAGTGCATCCAGGTTCTAGTTCTCCACAGGCGTGGGGTTCTGAGGGGGTGGCTGGCTGATGATCACCTGCACCACGTAGTCCCTGGAGATCTTCAGCTCCTCCAGCTTCATTCTGTCCGTCAGCGGCCGGCCCGAGAAGAACCAGCGCTGGCTGGCGGGCGCGACGCCCTCTTCGGCCTGCAGGCGGCGCTTCATGTGCTGCACGGAGTCGGTGGAGCGCACGGCCAGCCGCAGGTCCTTGCCCGTGGAGAGGCGCAGGCGCAGCTGGCACTCCTGGCCCGAGTTGGGCGGCGGCTCGGGCACGTCGGGCACCTCCAGGTCGCTCTTCTCCTCAATCATGTTGATGGGCGGGGCCAGGCAGTAGACGGGGAGCTGGTATCGATTGCCCAGCTCATCATAGCACTCCGTAAGGGCGCCTGGGAGGACAGAGTCACCGTTACAAAGCATTAGCATCAGGTACGCAAATGTATACTGCACCGGCTAGTACAGGACTACGCAGTATACACTGCACCGGCTAGTACAGGACTACGCAACATACACTGCACCGGATAGTACAGGACTACGCAATATACACTGCACCGGCTAGTACAGGACCACGCAATATACACTGCNCCGGCTAGTACAGGACCACGCAATATACACTGCACCGGCTAGTACAGGACTACGCAAAATACATTGCGCCGGCTAGTACAGGACTACGAAATATACACTGCGCCGGCTACTACAGGACTACGCAATATACACTGTGCCGGCTACTACAGGACTACGCAATATACACTGCGCCGGCTAGTACAGGACCACGCAATATACACTGCGCCGGCTAGTACAGGACAAACCATACCATCTAGTACAGTACTATGCAAATGTAAACTGCACTGGCTAGTACAGTACCACACAAATCTATATTATACCAGATGGTACAGTACTCTCTATGTATCCTCTATCTGAATGCTCAGCTTCACCAAAAAAAGAAAAAAAAACCTTCTGTTTCAAATCCATAGTTCAGAGTAAAAATAAAAAAATGGCCAGAACACAAGATGGTCAGCAATGTGATCCTGTCACCTAAGCAAATGAAGGTAGACATTTTGCCCAACAATCACAGGCCACGTGATCACATACTGTGGGCAGATTGGGAACACAGCCCACGTTTTTGCTCCCTCCCAGCTCCCAGCCAATCAGGCACACCGAATACCTGGTACAGCTGAGAGGAAGCAAAAACGTGGACTGT